TTCGATACCGATGAAAAACGTTTTATGCGTCGGGCGATATCTCGGCAGCTCATTCCATCTTCATTGAGCAAGTGAATCAACCGGCGCTCCTCATCAGAAAATCTTCTTCCTTTGTGCATTTTAAAATAACTTTGAATTGCTCCAAATGAACTCACAGTAGTCACTTTACTAAGGCACGGTACATTGAATACTGAATAAACCTTCGGAGTTATAAAATAAACGTAAACAAAATGTGTGTCTATTATTCTGTCGCAGCTAAATAAAATAATACTGTTTATTGAGATGTACATTTGTATAAGATTATCAGATCAAGCCATTTCCAGACTTACTTTTCTTTAAATATCATGAACAATTCACTACTTTCGTGGTCCGCTTAACCAATTAATATATTACAATTAATTAAGGTTTTTAGTTGAGATAAAAAAAGTCAGTGTCACGAACGGGATTCGAATTGAATTGATTGAAAAATGGCAAAAAGGAGGGAAAATTCAAAAAGTGCGGTTGAGATGGGAAGTTGGTGTCCGAGTGGATCGAGGTCACGATAGCTCAAGTGGTAGAGCAGCGGTGTATCAAGCCGAAGATCGTGGGTTCGAATCCCGCTCGTGCCGTTGACTTTTTTATCTCAACTGAAAACCTTAATTAATTGTAATCATGAACAATATTCTAATGGTAAAAGAAATCATTTTTCACTGTTGAAATCGTGATTTTTTAATGTGTCTATAATTTTGTCACTCGGTTGTATATATGTCCGGCTCAATGTTTGTGAGTTGCAACCGAAAATCCCCACGATCACTAATTTCTTTTTTTTTGAATTTTTTTTTTGTGATGAGGTTCATAACGGCACTGAATCCACGATCTACCAAATAGGAAGATGGGAAAACAGTCAACTGTACAATAACCCAAAATGCAGGATATAAAGGATCTGTTTTTGTAACCAGAATTTGTGGTATCCTTGTTCAAACATTGGTTTAAGTTCCACATTTGTGAATATTTATTTAGAAATCGTGAGATTCGGTCTGGTGTGATGTAGGTTTCAGAAAAACATTTTCTTTATCGTGCCAACGTTTCAATCTTTATTGAGATCATCTTCAGGGCTCAAAGTGTTTGTCTTCTGTGTAATTGTGTCATTGTGACTGTGGCTAGACGTATTAAATTGTGAAATACCTTTGTGTAGTCTACAGGGTTAAAAACCTGTAATTTAATCATTACCATTCTCGCCTGCTTATCTTTGCCAGGTTGGTCACCACACAAATTTGACAATTTAACAGAGGTAAGAAAGTTAGGATGCTATTATTAAGACATTCTTAAGATGGCAAATTGCCGAAATGCATCGTGGGCACTCTCAACACGACACACAAGAATGACACAATTACACAGAACACAAACACTTTGAGCCCTGAAGATGATCTCAATAAAGATCGAAACGTTGGCACGATAAAGAAAATGTTTTTCGGAAACCTACATCACACCAGACCGCATCTCACGATTTCTAAATAAATATCGATTAACGGTCACTAATCACCACACATTTGTGAGTATTTCAATAAGCTGCTCCTGAATTAGTATGGATTCATCTGTGTTTGGGATCTGAATTTGTCCACGCGCAAAAGGGTTCGACACCCAGTCGGGAATATCGAAGTGAAGAATATCTTCAAATCTTTGATTCAGGTCTGAAGAGCCGTTAAGTGTTGACAGTAAGCAAGCAAATCTTCATCTCTAATTTGCAATTTCGAAGATTTGGAAACTGAGAACATTCTCCTCTTCCCAAGTTTTGTTTGTACAGAAAAAGTTTTGCAACAAACGCAGATATTACGCTTTTAGTTTTGATTAAATTTAATCGGTCACCTTGTAGTTTCAAATTAGTTTCGTTTAAATTGGCAAATAAATCAGTCTTATAGGCTATGCCATTTTTTGATTTAATTAAATTGTCAAATCATTGTCTTTGCTTTCCAGGTATTCCAACACATAAAATCGATTTTAGATAACCTATGTTTATCTAAAATATAAATGGCTATGCCATTTTTAGATAACCAACGTACTTCTGTTTTATATTATATTATTTTAAATTAAACCTTGCGCGGACCCCCTGACGTTGTTCAGAGACCCCCAAATCAATTTTAATTTTCCATGGACCCCCCTGAATGATACCGGGGACCCCTGGGGGTCCGTAGTGACCACTTTTGGAACCACTGGTCTAGCGGGTCCAGACGCCCACTCATCATCTTAATCATCATTTATTTAAAATACACTCACAGGCAAAAAATTCCAATCACTTGTAATATAACTTCATTTGTACATATTTTTATATATTAATCAAAATTTCACGTTGTTTAACGTTTAATAATTTAATCTTTGTCTAAAAAAAAGATAAAACATAAATTAAAATAAATATATAAATAAAATAAAGAAAGAAAGAAAGAAAATGGACAAAAAGACGGACAGATAAAATTTGTTTTAATTAGATTTTTAGTTAACATTTTAATATCGCGTATTACCTCCTCTTGCCTTAATTACATCGGGAAGACTCCTCGGCATACTTTCTACCAGTTGGGAAATGTCTCGTTGCTGGATGTTAGCCCATTCTTTACTAAGAATCCTTTCAAGATCGTGGAGTGATCAGGAAATGATGGATGTTATTCGTTTTTTGAGGTTATCCCATAAATATTCAAAAAGGTTCATATCTGCAGAACGGGCTGGCCAGGCTAAGACGCTGATGTTATGCTGTTGAGTTTGTCCTATGCGAGTGACATGTGGGCATTATTGTGCATTAGAATAGGATTATGGCAGATTTCATTGAGGACAGGCATCGCATGATGTTACAAAATTTCATCCACGTAGCGAGTGGCAGTCAAAGGCCCTCCACGATCAACAACCAACTCTGTGCGATTCTCCATTGAAATTCTCGTCCACTTTACAGAGCTACGTTGAAAAGTTTGGCTTTGGGGAAAATTACAAGCTTAGTACCTTTCATTTCACTTTTTCCACCCTCTTTCACGCCCATCTGAAGATCGTAGAGCAAGTCTACACTCATCTGTAAAAAGTACAGTAGACCAATCGTCTAAAGACCAATGGATGTGTTTTCGAGCAAATGCCCACCGTGCAACTCTGTATTTTCTGCTCAATTCTGGCACTCTTACGGGGCAAAAAGCCATTAGGCCATACTGATTTAATCTTCTTCGAGCAGTGCATTCAGAAATTTGGGCACCTCGAACTTCCTGGAGCTGATGAATCGCTTGAACGTAAGGTGCCGGTTTCGCAAAATTCTCAAAGTCATAAAACAGTCATCCTGTGATTCTGTTACCCTAGGACGTCTAGAATCTGGCCTTCTATGGTAGGATCCAGTTTCTCAAAAACGTCTAACGGCGTCTCGCAGAGTTTCGTATGGAACTCCGATGGCAATAGCCCATACTTGATGGAACGACCATCATCAATAAGTGTGTTGTGATTAGTGACCGTTAATCGATAATTATTCAGAAATCGTGAGATGCGGTCTGGTGTGATGTAGGTTTCAGAAAAACATTTTCTTTATCGTGCCAACGTTTCGATCTTTATTGAGATCATCTTCAGGGCTCAAAGTGTTTGTGTTCTGTGTAATTGTGTCATTCTTGTGTGTCGTGTTGAGAGTGCCCACGATGCATTTCGGCAATTTGCCATCTTAAGAATGTCTTAATAATAGCATCCTAACTTTCTTACCTCTGTTAAATTGTCAAATTTGTGTGGTGACCAACCTGGCAAAGATAAGCAGGCGAGAATGGTAATGATTAAATTACAGGTTTTTAACCCTGTAGACTACACAAAGGTATTTCACAATTTAATACGTCTAGCCACAGTCACAATGACACAATTACACAGAAGACAAACACTTTGAGCCCTGAAGATGATCTCAATAAAGATTGAAACGTTGGCACGATAAAGAAAATGTTTTTCTGAAACCTACATCACACCAGACCGAATCTCACGATTTCTAAATAAATATTCACAAATGTGGAACTTAAACCAATGTTTGAACAAGGATACCACAAATTCTGGTTACAAAAACAGATCCTTTATATCCTGCATTTTGGGTTATTGTACAGTTGACTGTTTTCCCATCTTCCTATTTGGTAGATCGTGGATTCAGTGCCGTTATGAACCTCATCACAAAAAAAAAATTCAAAAAAAAAGAAATTAGTGATCGTGGGGATTTTCGGTTGCAACTCACAAACATTGAGCCGGACATATATACAACCGAGTGACAAAATTATAGACACATTAAAAAATCACGATTTCAACAGTGAAAAATGATTTCTTTTACCATTAGAATATTGTTCATGATTACAATTAATTAAGGTTTTCAGTTGAGATAAAAAAGTCAACGGCACGAGCGGGATTCGAACCCACGATCTTCGGCTTGATACACCGCTGCTCTACCACTTGAGCTATCGTGACCTCGATCCACTCGGACACCAACTTCCCATCTCAACCGCACTTTTTGAATTTTCCCTCCTTTTTGCCATTTTTCAATCAATTCAATTCGAATCCCGCTCGTGCCATTGACTTTTTTATCTCAACTAAAAACCTTAATTAATTGTAATATATTAATTGGTCAAGCGGACCACGAAATTAGTGAATTTAATTCAAATGATTCTTGAGTTTATAATCATTTAATAAATGAACTGTAAGGTTTTTATGTCAAATTTATACTGGAGAAATAGAGCAGTTGATAATTCATACGTTTTGCCTTGAAAATATAGAGAAAATGCTTACTTTTTGTATAGTCTGTCCTTCAAAAATTCCTTCCCGGACTTCCGTTTGCCGCTGTAGATGCAAACCGGTGATTCCTCGATTTCAAATGTGAATGTACTGCATAAAGCATAAAAGCATAAAAATGTCAAACTACTATTTGTACAATTCCCAACTATTAAATAAAATATTATATATGGTCGTTTCATGATTTTGAACTGTACCTCTTGAACGGAATGAAAACGTGTCATGATCCGATTTGTCTAGCATGCTCATGCGCGCTGTTGAATCATGGCGAGCGTGATGTAATTTAATCAGCAATATAAGCTGGAAGCTTGAGATTAAAAAAATAAGATCTTTCAATATTTAACGATGAAATGGGAACGATCAACCGTCTGAAAAATTATCTAGATTAAATTTATACGCACCACCGCGGGGGAAAAATGACCCGTATTTAAATGACAATAACCTAGCTAGTAAGCCAGCTTTCCCTTTTATGCTCATTCTTCTTTAGAAAGCTTTATTCCTTGCAGAACAATCGGAATGGAGGAATCACCGGTTTGCACCTACCTTTTCAGCGGCAAACGGAAGTCCGGGAAGGATTTTTTGACGGACAGACTGTACGAAAAGTAAGCATTTTTCTCTATATTTTCAAGGCAAAACGTATTAATTATCAACTGTTCTATTTCTCCAGTATAAATTTGACATAAAAACCTTATAGTTCATTTATTAACTGACTATACACTCAAGAATCTTTTGAATCTAGATTTGCGTCATTATTTAAATCCAGAGCGGAAGTTGGTCGCACAATTGCCAACATAATTTAAATAATAAAATAATTTCTAAAAAAACAGAAAATTTTATGTCATATTTATCAACAAAATTGCTCGTATAACATTAGCCTTTTTAGTATGAAATTCCTGCCAAGTTGATCTTAATATATCTAGTTAATACTTAAGGTGGTTAGGGGTTAACAGATTTTTTTCTTATATTTTCATTTAAGGGTGGTTAGGGACTTACTCTTTTGTGGATTTACTAACTATTAACAACAACAAAAATTTTACACAGCTCTTTTAGCATTTCTTTGTTAAGACACTCTCCACTCAGACCTGATTCCTTGTCTAACCTAACCAAATCCTGATACCTCAAATTCATCTCCAGATTTTTTTTCTTTACTTATCGCATTAGCCAAGTGATCAATTCAACTTCCTTATCTATGACTTTTCTACTCTTGCCCCAAAGAAGTTGAGGCAACTGAGAACATACAGTCTTGCAGACGAAAAAGCTTCAATATGTTGGTCACTGCTGACTCCTACTCACTCTTAACATGCCACTATCTTCTTATTGCATAAATTGATGCATGAGAATCATAATAATATTGAAAGCTTTTAATTTGGTGATATTTATGGCACTTCCTATGGTCATAGGGGGATTTATACAAAACTAATAGTTTTCTCATTATCTAACTGTTAGTTAGTTTTACAGAAAGTTAATTTATGTATAGATAGTGTATTTTGTACAAAGAGTAGCTCACTAGTAAGCATGTGAAATAAAATGTATTTATTTTTTAAAATTGTTCCATGTTAGGAAATTATTTAAAGAAAAGTTGCTTGTGGAATGTGGAGAAACTCGTGATGTATGCTGGGGAGAAAGTTTGGCACATTATTAACACTAGAAGGATTAAGAGGCCCTATGCACACACTTTTCTATTGCAAAAACATTTTTATTTAGCTGAAACTCCTCAACTTTGTTTATTTATGGAGTAAATTATGTATTTAAAGTGAATTGAATTTTTAATTATTTTTTAAAGAGACTTATGGTATGATATATTAAGTACAAAAAGATTATGACTGACCCATGAGATTGTTTAATTTTTATTCGTGTTTAATATTAATATTTTTAAAAACGTGGAGCTTATCTCAAAGGATAAGCTAATCCCCTACCGCAGGCTCGGGAGTGCGAGCTGAGCTACGAAAGGATGAGGAAGGACACTCTCTCTCAATTTTGCTTGAAAGCACCTGCTCTTTTTTATGTAAATGGCAAGGAGTTAGTTGCGTATGTCATAGATCACATATTTTTATTTTTTTTAGATCTGAATACATTTATTTTTTTTTTTAAGGTTTTGTTATAATTTATTTGGATCAGGTCCCGATTTTTGTCTTTTCCGTTTAATTTAATTGAGTTTGTGGCACAAATATTTTTTCTTATTTTTATTTTACACTCGCAAGGATACGAATTTGCGTCGTGTGAAGGGGATTAACCCTAACACGTGATAATTTTAAATATTTTATTCTAATAATTGAAATCAATATTTTTGTACAATAATTCGTGAGATTTCCTCCTGCGGTTGAGAGGGTGATGAACCTGTAATTTGATCCTTATCAATCATCTTGGTCTGCTTATCCTTGTTGGGTGGTCTGTCAGATTGTATAGCATCTTCGTGCAGATTTGGTTGACAGGCCCAGTACTGAAGGTGGCAAAATGCTTACAGGACACACAGCGAGGATAAATAGACCAGGAGAATCAGTAAGAACCAAATTACACTGGTTTTTTATCTGTGTACATTGTTACGAATTATCCCTGTAATAACATTTCTCCTACCTACCCACCAAGGACTATAGCATTCTAGCTTATTGTACTTGTAGTTTCTTAGTTTTGTTTCCTTTTCCTAAGAAGTACTAAGTATTGCCTGTCATTCCTAAAATTCCTTTCCCTGGGTTTTCTTTGTGTCATAGGTTATGTCTCAATTGAGTGGTTGTATTCGAAAGGTGGTGGTTTCTTCCTCATCATTTCATAACCTACAAATTGGGTCATTATCGAATATACCCATGTTATGTAGATGGTTTTATTTTCAGATGCAAGTGACTGGTTTATAGTCCTATCACTACTCTGAGTTGGACAGTTCTGAAGCCTCTACATCACCAGCTGTTCAAAGACAGGATGTAGTGGTACAAGAATCGTTCAGGTTGTACTGTGTTTTTGTTTCTTTGACATCATTGGGTGTACATCCCTAATGAGTTTCATTGCTCGTGTTTTAGGCTTGTACAGAAAATTCAGTTCTTGATTTGTTTTGGAGCTCTGCATACCACATCATTGTATCTGATTTCCTCCTGAAGTTCCTTCTTCTCCACTGTAGTCTGTTGAGACTTTATAAGATATAGGTTTCCGAGATCATGTAGTCAGTCCCTGTTTCCAAGAATGGTGTCTGATTTTATTAATTATTGTTAAGTACCAAAAGTGTTTAGTTACCATCAAATTTTATTATTTCTGAAGCCTAAATGAGCTTTCCCTCATGTCTCCTTGTATATTTCTAAATATTTCAAAAATATTTCTAATGGAAATTTTGCAGAGTTTTTAGTGTAATTGACGGGGTTGTTTTCCCCGTGATGCGTAGAGTATTTGTTTGCTGCCTAATGTTTAGGTAGTTTATTTTTGCTGAGCTTTGATCCACCACATTGATGAGCTGTATGATAATTTAGGACATACTTAGTGGAATCCACTACACCTTTTCGGTAGAAAGAACACATTTTGACTCCTTGAAATATCAAAGTAAACATCATAAAATTTTCTTTTGAGTAGCACGTATTCAGATGATCTAGTACCAGAAAGTGAAGGAAAAACATAATCAGTTCTTTATAATAAAAATAAAGTTAGTTGACATATTGAATACCATTTATAGGAAGTATTCTAGCAGAGCAGGGACCATAAACCCGGTCCGATACATATTTTCCACAATATTTTGGATATGGCCGGTATAAACAAGTGGATCATCTACAAACAGGCTTTGTAAAAGCAAATTAACCACCAACTCAATCAGCATCAATCACACCAAGATTAAAAAGAAAAGATTGCCAAATTGGATCAAAATGTCCAAATAAATCGAAAAAAGTGATTGGAAAAATAGCTTGTCGTCTCAATAGAATATATAAATGTTGGTCTAGTGTTAGAAAATAGAAAATAGAATTACGAGATCTCCTAGGTCTCTGGCTTCTCCCTGATGGATCAGGGGGAGTCACCCACCTTGGTGCCTGAGCAACTCTGAGGTTGGGCTCTAGTCGGGCACCATCTACTTCTTTGGTCATTTCGGTGCCCTTACGTTCCCTAAACCTAGTCATTCTCACTCTCACTCATACAATAAATACATACATACTCATACATACAAACCCAATCACACATGCATATCCTCTGTCTAGAATCCAGGTTGGAGCAACGTTGGAGCCTTGAAATAATATGCTGCACCGTCACCCAGCATACTCCTATTCTAACATAAACTAAATCTAAACTTTAACCTATGAAATAAATACCCCACTATATACAACCCATTATCCCAATATCTCTTAAAAACCTAAAAAGTTTTTCTTTAAACTTGCTGCCATGCTTGAGCATTCTCCTATAATCCGGCGGTATTCCATTTCGGTCCCTGTACGGGTCTAGTGTTAATATAATATTTCTAATGATGAATTCTATGTTAGAAAAGAAGTTTTGTTATCTATAAACGATGCTCTTTTATTAAAGGACCATACAACTTCTAATTACTTTCCTTTCAGCCATTAATCTCATTGTTACAGACATTCTTTGTTCTCTTATTAATTGAAGGCCTTAATTATGTCTGGCTATTTCCTTAGCGAAGCACAAAAAATGCTTTTAGAATAATTAACAAGAATAAAAATTTAAAATAGTAAAAGCATTTTTTCTCGAGGCTTTCTATTTACTGTTATTCACTTTTAGATTAAACAAGGATAAGGCTGTTGTTCTGAAGATCTCGGGCCCAATTAAATCTCACTGGGCTAAATCAAAGAATCTTTCTTATGATGATCTGCTCAATTCTAGTGAATACAAAGAACAGCATCGTAAAGATATGATTGAATGGAGCGAGTCCATTCGGAAGGAAGACTATGGCTATTTCTGCTCTGCAGCTGTGAATATGTACAATGGTATTTTTCCTTAATTTGATTTTATTTTTTTTCATACCTTTTAGTTTGAACTACAACGTAAATCTATATATACAACTATAAGTATACAGCTACAACTATAACTATAATTAATTAAGGTTTTTAGTTGAGATAAAAAAGTCAGTGACAGGAGCGGGATTTGAACCCACGACCTTCGGCTGGATGCGCCGCTGCTCTACCACTTGAGCTATCGTGACCTCAACCCACTCGAACACTAACTTCCCATCTCAACCCCACCTTTTGAATTTTCTCTCCTTTTTGCCATTTTTCAAAAACCTTAATTAATTGAAAGATATTAATTGGTCAAGCAGACCACAAAAACTAGTGAATCTTTATTTTATTTTTATTTTGAAAGATTTATATACTAAAAGAAAACCTCGAATCTAAACATTTATATTAATTCATTCCAAAGATAGAAAAGAATTTTTATATTTTTACTCAATAAAATCACTAAGTTGGACAACAATGTTGTTTCAGCAAAGACGAAACCCATTTGGATAGTGAGCGACATCAGGCGTAAAACTGACATAAGGTGGTTCAAAGAAAACTACAACGTGGTTAAAACCGTGCGTGTCATCTGCGACGAGGATGTTAGGAAGCAGAGAGGATGGGAGTTTTCTGAAGGTAAATCTATTTACTAGGCTAGTAATAACGATCGTAACATATTATATTGCAGGAATCGATGACAAAGAAAGCGAGTGTGATCTGGACTGTTACGACGACTGGGACCTGATTATTGAAAACAACGGCAAAACAGATGTTGATGAAATATTAAATAAAATTGTAATTGACATGGAAAGTCATTTGCAATAAGCTAACAAAACTGCTTTAACTGTTGTTACACAAGGCTGATTAATTATAATAAATTAGTCGTTTACTCTGTTATTCTAATGTAATGGTTCTTTAAATATTTAAATTGTTAACAAGAGAAAGATTAATTTTTAATTATTGAATATTTTTTGTTATTTATAAGCTTTATGTACAATAAAAGTTTTATGTACATTGTTCAAGTTTGATTTCTATGATTTAAGCAAGACCAATATTTGCCTGCCATGTGCAACCAATCTTCTTGCCATCTTCAGTGTATTTATTTTCTTACATAATTTTTATTTTGAAAAGTTATTGCTAAAAAGAATAAAAACCATTATAGAAAAAATAAAATCATCACCAATTTGGATTTTAAGCAAGACATTCAGCAATAGACCAAATTCACAGAGTAACGAAATTAATGGAAAAATCACTAAAGAAAAACAAATTTGTTCTGCTATTTTCTTGATATGCCACAAGGCATGAAGGAATCATAACTAATCTAAAAGGAATGCTACAAAAGCAGTATGTAGATATTATCAGTTCCTACCTGACATTTGAGAGTCAAACGAGAAGACCAATATTCAGAATTAAAAACAATAAATGAAGGCATGCCACAAGGTAGCGTACTTGGTCCACTACTTTATTTGTTATACACTCGTGATTTTCCGAAAAAAATTGCAACTTGCTGATGACACAGCAATGATATCAGAAAGACTGACCATCACCATTCAATCAAAATTCTTCAAAAGGCTTGCAACAAGATTAACGAATGGACAAAAAATGGAGAATTAGGCTCAATCAGCATAAATCTGTACTATGATTAATTAAGGTTTTTAGTTGAGATAAAAAAGTCAAAGGCATGAGCGGGATTCGAATCCATGATCTTCGGCTTGATACGCCGCTGCTCTACCACTTGAGCTATCGTGACCTCGATCCACTTGGACACCAACTTCCCATCTCAACCACACCTTTTGAATTTTTCCCTCCTTTTTGCCATTTTTCAAATGTCGTGTAATCGGATTGGATTCTCGACGACAAATGAAATGGCCACGGGTTGAGGTGGGGTTGAGATGGGAAGTTGGTGTCCGAGTGGATCGAGGTCACGATAGCTCAAGGGGTAGAGCAGCGGCGTATCAAGCCGAAGATCGTGGGTTCGAATCCCGCTCGTGCCATTGACTTTTTTATCTAAACTAAAAACCTTAATTAATTATAATATATTAATTGGTCAAGCGGACCACAAAATTAATTAATTTAATAAATCTGTATGATACTTTTTTTAAATTTTACAAGCAAAAAAAGTGGACCTTGTTCCATCTCTCACCATCGATGTAACTATCGTACTATACAAGCGAAACAGCTAAATATATAGGAATGAATTATGTAGAGTTTCAATCTTCGTAGAGGTCATTAGACAGGTGAAGAAAGAAGAAGACTAATTGTTGGGTTCAACAAGCTTTCGGCAACTTATAGTGCCATCATCAGGACCTATTTATTAATAATTGCAGATGGCACTATAAGTTGACAAAAGCTTGGTGAACCCAACAATTAGTCATCTTCTTTCTTCACCTGTCTAATGACCTCTATGAAGATTGAAACTCTACATAGATTATCTGCAGGTCGATCAACAAACATCATATCTGGGAATGACCTTAGATGCCATGCTGAGATTGAAAGAGCATGTGAAGAGAAAAAGAACAGAAATAGTTTTAAGCTTCACAGGACACAGCTCGAACCTTACTGTACAAAATAAAATATTATCTTGTACAAACAAGTTCTAAACCCTATGTGGACATATGGTATTGTACCAAACACAGCAATATCAAGATTACACAAACACTCCAAAATAAAATTTTATGTAACATAGTTAATGCACCTTGGTATGTAAGTTTTTATTAAAATCTTTTGTAATTTGGTTATTTCCAGTCTTTTTGGTCTGTTGCTCCTTATTTTTGTCTGTTAAAGATGCTCTCGTTTTGATGAGGCCCATTTGTAAGTTCATCACAAGTGGAAGGATAAAGACAAGATTATTAAAATATTTGAATTTAAACAAACCTTCCAAGCCGACCCTAGCTCAAAGGAGAGTGGAGGGATGGTCCTGGTAGGAGGTGACATACCATGACTACCCATGAGGCAAAATGGTACAAGGGCAAATTTATTTGACCCCCAGATCATTTATCACAATGATTTATTATAAATTACAGGCAGGCTTCAAGAATCGCCAACCTCGGGTGTCGGCAGTCCGGGGTCAGACTTTGGTCTTATCCGTCCAGCAGCTGAGGTTGGTCTAACAAGCCCAATTTTAATAAAAGTTTTTTAAAAAAAATTTTGGTTGAAATTGAACCCANCTATATCGCCATTATTACAATCTTTTGTAGCTTGGCTGTTTCTGGTCTTTTTGGTCTGCTGATCCTTATCTTTGTCTGTTAAAGATGTTCCTGTTTTGATGAGTCCCATTTATAAGTTCATCACAAGTGGAAGAATAAAGACAAGATTATTAAAATATTTGAATATAAACAAACCTTCTTAGCTCCAAGTAGAGTGGAGGGATGGTCCTGGTAGGAGGTGACATACCACGACTACCCATGAGGCAAAATAGTACAAGGGCAAGTTTATTTGGACCCCCAGATCATTTATGACCTTATCACAATGATTTATAATAAATTACAAGCAGGCTTCAAGAATCGCCAACCTCGGGTGTTGGCAGTCCGGGGTCAGATTTTGGCCTTTTCCATCCAGGAGCTGAGGTTGGTCTAACAAGCCCAATTTTAATAAAAGTTAAAAAAAATTTTTTGGTTTAAATTGAACCCACAACGGCGATACCTACGAGCCGAGATTGCTACATCGTCATTATTACAGTCTTTTGTAACTTGGCAGTTTCTGGTCTTTTTGGTCCGCTGATCCTCATCTTTGTCTGTTATATGCTGTTACTGTTTCGATCAGTTCCATTTATATCAAGTAGAAGGATAAACACAAGATTAATAAAATATTTGAACCAACCCATGAGGCAAGATTATTTGGACCCCAGATCATTTATGACTTTATCAGAATGATTTACAGGCAGTCTTTGGGGTCGTCAGTCCGGGATCAAACCTCGGTCTTATATGTCCAGCTGCTGGTCCGGCTCCAGTGGTTACCAACAACTAGATCATTTCAGCCTCCAATGCAGTTCCAAAACCCAAACCAATTCTCTCTTAAGGTGGTGGAGTATGTACTGATATTATATAACTAACCTAATTGAAGTGGAAAAAATTGACATCGACCTTCTCACACTACACATACACGCTAATAAATGCATTCACTCTTAATATAAACTAGGTTAAAAAAAAACTATCAGTACTATATATAATAAAACCTTGTTTCGTCCAAAAATTGGGGTCACAGATACTCACTGCCTATTGCCATATCGGGTGGGCATTCCTAAGCTCTGAATATGAAGCCAAGGAAATTGCACCTTTCAACTAGGTACTAGGTAGGACAATGTTTAATGTATTTGATGATATGTATATGTTGAAGAGGAGGGGTGAAAAATGACAACCTTGGGGAACTCCTGAATTAATTGGGATTTCTTTGAAGTACCGACTTAGTTACTGAGACTCCTTGTAAGTAGGATTTGTTACCTGGGCATGCTTATCCAAGTTCTGACCAAAATACTCGGATTTGAAATACTCCAGCGTTTGGAATGGTAGCGAAACACTGCCGACAGTAGCGCATGTGCACCTTAGATTTTGATGGGCGTGTGACCTTGAAGTGGAACCTTGTCGGAGCTCGCGATTATCAACCGGCGAGGGTGTGATTGCCGATTGCTGATTGCTTGCGACAAAACGACGAACGCCGTACGCGATTCGACCATGCTCAGCATCTTCATCGAGTTCGTTTTCAACGTCGTGCTCTTCTTGTGCTGCTTCGCAGCCTCACTCCTCGCAGTCGGCGTTGTTTACATCAAATTTAGATACAAGACACTCTCCAGGACGACACTCAAGAACAAACACGTTGTGGTGAGTGACATATACAACTAAAAAGCACACATGAAAGTTGTATAGAGAAAAAAACCTTCATTTTTATTGTATGATTTAATAACAATTAATTAATTTATTTATTTACGGATCGAAATCCACTATAAAAAAGACATTTTACAATAACAAAAAATACAAATAATATATATAAAAATACTAATAATATATATAAAAAGAATAAGTACATATATACATGGTAATAATATAAATGATAAATATAAAAATACAATTAAAGAGTAAAAAACTGAACAACAAAAATGAAAGACATAATTACTAACCAAATAAAGCAGAGGAAACGAAATAAAGCTGAAAGACAATTGAAACTACAATAATTAGGTACATATTTAATGAAAATAATGCTCTTTGTAAATATATAATAAGACTAGAGTGCGAGAATTAGTTGAACCAGTAAATGAAATAAATTGTAATAATTTTGTACAGTATGAAATATAAAAGCATTCAACTAAG